CGATGGCTTCCGTTTCAACCGCCGCCGCTAACAGCGCCATCGTACTGGTCCTCGGCCCAACGGTTACCACTGAGACTGCTTCCTCGAGATTCCTCCCCTTCATCCAACGCGCCACCGACGCAATCTGGCTGGCTTGAATCCCAAGCGGTCGCTCACCCACCGCAGAAACCAGCAACGCAAACAGAAAGTCGCGCTGCGAAATCTTCGCATCACCGAAGTAAAACACATCCATCACCAGAACCCGCTTCCCCGCGGCGATCAACTTCGCCACCTCTTCCACGGCAGCCGCTCGTCCGGCATCGGCCGTTACGATGACCGTCGACGTTGCACCTTCAGGCACCAACTCCACCGCCGGCACAGTCCAATTCTCGCCGAGCCTAATCTTCCAAACGATGGTCTGCACCCCGTCCACTTCTTCCGAAGAAAGTTCTTCCCCCGCCACTTCATACTCGTGGTACTGAATCAGCTCACGCAACCGCTCGCGTTGAGTCTCGTTCGACTCGCCCGTTGCCTTCCCCGGCAGACCCTCACTCAGCTTCACCGCCAACGAATGAAAGGTTTCATTCTCCGCCGGCAGCGGAACATCCAACTCCGCTTTCGATTTCACTTCACCCTCGCTGGGAATCTCCTGGGCCGATACCTCGCTGGGCGAGCTGGCGAAGAAATCGCGGAACATGCCGTACAACGCCTGGCGATTATCCAGCTCGAAGTTGTGATCGCCCGGATCGTCATTCACATGCCACCGCAATCGCTCCGGCTTTCCGAAAGCCTGATAAATCGGTTCGGCCGCATCGAGCAATGGTTGCAGTGCATGGTCGGCCTTGAAGCAACAATTATCCTCCGCGTTGTAAGTCAACAGCGTCGGCCGCGGGGCGCGAATCGCCGTCAGGTGCGCGTAGTCGGCCACTGTCGCTAAATCGACTGGCGTCTGCTCCGAATCACCCAGGTCCGAAAAGTGAAACGCCCGCGTGTGAAAACTCGAGTACCCAGCCACCGGGTTGGACAGCGTCACGCGCGGGTCGAGCGAGCTAATGACAATCGTCTGCCACCCGCCGCCAGAAAGCCCCGCCACCGCCACCCGCTGCGGGTCGGCCTTCGGATGTTCCAACAACAAATCCAACGCCCGCGACATGGCTAGATAAAACGGTGCCAGCCCGCTGGTGCCGCACAGGTCAATCTGGTTCGAGCGATAGTGCGAGTAGTCCTCACCCTGCAATTGCCCCATCCCCAGCCACTCGACGTTCAGCGCCAACATCCCACGCTTGGCCTGATTGATGCAACGCAATTGTTTGTAGTCGGCCGCCTTGCCATCGGCCCGATCGTGCCCGTTCACATTCAGCACTGCCGGAACCTTCCCGTCGGCATTGAACGGCCCCTCAAAACTATTCGGCTCGTACAACAGCGCCGGAATCCACAGTCCCGGCAACGCCTCGTAACGCAACTTGCGAATGTGATACCCCGGCCCGCCTTCGATCTCATCCAACCACTCAACTCGCGTGTCCGCAGCTCGCCATGCGGCGGCCTCCCCGCGAAACACCACCTTCTCCAGCACGTCGCGGCGCAGTTGGTCCGCATACGCATTCCACGACTCGACCGATTCAAACTCCGGCACATCCGGAATCCGCTTCGTAACGAACCGTTGCACTTCAGCCAGCGTATCGTCCGGCCCCAGGATCGGCCGCTTCACTGTCGCGGCCCACGCCGGCTCTTCGGCCGCAGTAAAACTACCGGCTGAAACCCAACCGACCAGCAACAGGAATCCACCGACAACGAGCAGCCGTTTCAAGAACATCGCACGCTCCAAACATCGCCTGGCACTTGTTCATCCTCGTGGGGACGAGTATGACCGAGGGAAGCAAGGCAAACAACGATTCGCCAGAATGGAGACTCCTCGCCATGCAAATCGCCGTCACCGGGGCCACCGGGTTCATCGGACGTTACATCGTGGCCAACCTCACCGCCGCAGGACATCGCTGCCGATGTTGGTATCGCCCCAGCAGCAATCGCGAGGGAATGCCCGTCCCGCAAGACGCTATCGATTGGGTCCCCGGCTCGTTGACCGATCACGATTCGTTCAAGCCCCTGGTCGAGGGCTGCGATGCCGTCATCCATTCCGCCCTCGATCGTCCCGGCAAAGGCTTCCTCGGCAGCGAAGGCGACCTGCTGCCATTCGTCGAAGCCAACCTCCTCGGCTCACTGCGCCTCATCGAAACCGCCCGGGCAGCCAAAGTCCCGCGGTTCGTCTTTATCTCTACCTGCGCGGTACACGAAGTCATCCTCGACGATCGCCCCCTGGACGAAGCCCATCCGCTGTGGGCCACACATCACTACGGCGCGATGAAGGCAGCCGTCGAGAAGTTCGTCCACAGCTACGGGCTAGGTGCCGGCTACGACGTCTGCGCGTTACGCCCCACCGGCGTCTACGGCTTGGCCAATCCGCCCCAGGACAGCAAATGGTACGACCTCGTGCAGCGTGTGGCTCGCGGTGAAGACGTCGAAGTCCGCGGGGGAGGCAAAGAAGTCCACGCCGCCGATGTGGCCCGCGCCGCCGCGCTCTTGCTCACCGCCGACGGCATCGCCGGCCAGGCGTACAACTGCTACGACCTTTACGTCTCCCGCCACGCGGTGGCCACCATCGCCAAGCGCCTCAGCGGCAGCAATTCGAACATCTCCGGCGATCCCCCTTCGCCCAAACATCAAATTGTCACCGACAAAATCAAAGCCCTCGGCATGACCTTCGGCGGCGAAGAACTCCTCCAACGCACCATCGACGACATGCTGGCCGCCGGCAAAGCTTAACCCCGCTCCTCATTCACACTTCCGGGAATCATTGGGCATTCCGCAGCCCAGTCGGTATAGTGAATGCCGCTGCCCGGGGTCGTTCACCCGCCCTGGGGCACCCCGCCTGGCAACGATCCACCCCGCCGCCACGGCCCCGCATCACAGGGAACAATCGCCATGGCCCATCCCGCCGGTCACAACCACCTCACCGAGCACGCCTTCACTGGGTTCAACGCCCACCGCACCGACGGCGTCTCGGTCCTCGGCCGCCGCAGCATGTTGAAGGCCTCGCTCGCAGGCATCGCCGGCCTCTCATTACCCGAGCTATTCCGCGTGCAAGACGCCCGCGCGGCATCCGGCGAATCAACCAACCGCCAGAAAAGTGTCATTCTCCTTTGGATGACCGGTGGCCCCAGCCACATCGACACGTGGGACCCCAAACCCGAGGCCCCCGTCGAAATCCGAGGGCCCTTCGACACCATCCCCACGGCACTGCCCGGCGTGCGCATCTGCGAGCACCTGCCCAAGCAGGCCGCAATGCTCGACCGCATGACGATCATTCGTTCGGTCGACGCCTTGAAGTCGAATCATCAGCCCAACAAGGTCATGCAAACCGGCAACCGCGAGGCCGCCCCCCGTGTGAATCGCGAAGGCGACTTGTACCCGGCCATCGGATCGATCGTGGCCAAATACCGCGGGCCCAACGACCCAGCCATGCCGCCTTACGTCGCGCTCAATGTCCGCGACAAAACCCACATCGCCTGGGGCGGCTATCTCGGCAAACAATACGATCCCTTCGACGGCAGCCAGGTCGGCAACATCTTCCAACTGCCCGAGGGCCTCATCGAGCAGCGGCTCTACACCCGGCAGTCACTCCGCTCGCGGCTCGATCGTCTGCAAAGCGATCTCGATCTCTACGGCTCGATGGCCGCCCTCGAATCGTTCGAGCAGAAGGCCGTCAACATCGTGGCCGGCTCCAAAGCCCAGTCCGCGTTCGATATCGCCCGCGAGCCTCAGGAAGTCCGCGAGCGATACGGCGAACACGAGTGGTGCCAGCAAACCCTGCTGGCCCGGCGACTGGTCGAAGCCGGCGTGAACTTCGTCACCGTGGTGCTCAGCAACCACCGCAGCTCGGGCACGTGGGACACGCACGGCGACAACATCCCTCCTTACGGCGGAATCACCAAGGGGCTGGGCCCGCTGCTGCCCGTGTTCGATCATCTGCTGACCACGCTCGTCGACGATCTACACACCCGAGGGCTGGCCGACGATGTGCTGGTCGTCGCCATGGGCGAGTTCGGCCGCACCCCGCAGATCGGCACCCAAGGTAGCACCGATGGCCGCAATCACTGGCCCTACGTCATGTCGATGACCCTCGCCGGCGGCGGCCTCCGCCACGGGCAAGTCATCGGCGCTTCGGAACGCGACGGTGGCCACATCAAAAACCGCCCCGTCACCCCCGGCGACCTCGCCGCCACCATCTACCGCCACATGGACGTCCCCCTCAACACCACCTACCCCGACTTCCGCGGAAGACCAAGGTACATCGTCGAAGACGGCAGCCCAATCGAAGAGTTGTTTTGAGTGCAGAAGGTAGGGTGCTGTCGAGCGCAGCGAAGACGCACCGATTGCTGGCGGGGAAAGGAACAACTCGATGGTGCGTCTGCACCTCATTCGACCGCACTCTATTTTGTGATTCCTTCAACTTACATTCCACGAATCATCCCATGCCCGACTCCAGCCATCACGAACGAATCACTCCAAAATTCAACCTGCTGTTGTTCATCTACGTCTCAGTGATCGGACTCCTCACGTTTTTGGCTTCTGATAAAGCCTCGGGAGCAACACCACTGGGATTGGTACTGAGTATCGCCCTCGACTTCGTATTCGTTGTCGCGGCGTTGTTCATCGGAACTTACTTCTTGCGGGAGTTCTGGAACCGCCTGATCACAGACCTCTTCGCGATTCGGTCGCTAAGCTTTCAGGAGGCGATGGCCTTCGCATTGATAATGTCTCTCATCCTGTCATAGAAACCGTGCACTCGCAGAAAGCCCCAGCTTCGCCGTAGAACACAACCACCCAATCAAAGAGCCGTTCCTAACCAAAAAATGCAGGGTGCTGTCGAGCGCAGCGAAGACGCACCTATTGCAGACGAAGGAACACTCCTAAAACAAACGCGAGGTCTACGACGGTGCGTCTGCACTTCGTTTGACGACACCCTACCTTGCGCCGGCGCCTTGTTCAGAAAGCTCCGGCACCCGCATCTTCACCACCGCATGCTGCTTGCGGTTAATGCCGTACACCACGTGGCCCTCGTCATAATCCCACGCAATACCTTGCCCCGGCGTGGAACCGTGAATCTCGGCAACCGGTACCAGCGTCGAGCCCGCCTGCGGCACTTGCAGCACGAACAGCGTGGGGGCGTCGTGGCCGGTGATGTAGAGCTGCCCCTTGGGCGACCAAACGCCGCCGGAGGTACTGTACGGACTTAGCCGGGCCATCAGTTCATCGGGGAAAACCCAGCCGGCCAGGCGGCGCCACTTGCGGTCGAACTTCACCAGCGAGGTCTTGCGGTTGTTCGTATCCGCGGGGTTCGACTTGTCGTTGTAATGGGCGAACGCCACCCACCATGCCCCTTCACGGAACACGGCCCAGGTGCAGGACCCTTCGTAGATGCCGAAGCTGTGGTTGCCCACGTGCTCGAGCGTGGCGGTGTCCCAAATCTCAACCGAACTGGTTGCCGGCTGATGAGGGTAATTCGAATGGGCACAGTACAACTTCCCCTCGAGCACGAAGCCCGAGTTGAGATGTTCCAGCGGTTGCTCGTCGTCCGACTCCCACGCCGCAAGTTTCCGGCCCGACTGCTTGTCGTACTTGCCGATCGAGCGACTCCCAATGGCGTAGACATGCTGGGCGTCGACCGCCACCCCCTGATGCGCCTCGGACGCCGGGAACCGCCCCAACACCTTGGCGCGTAGCCCCTCGTCGGCCCAACTCGCCGCAGCCGGCAACCCCGCGGCAACCAGCACCAACAGCTTCACAATCCAGCGGCGACGCCAACTCAATCCAAAATCTCCAACACCGCCTCCGGAGGCCGGCCCAATCGAGCCGCGCTGCCCTGCACGACAATCGGTCGCTCGATAATCTCCGGGTGCTCCGCCATGCGGGCGATCAGCGTCTCGGCATCGTCCGTATCATCCAGTCCCAGCGCTCGATACTCCTTCCGCCGAATCAACTCCTGCGGCGCGAGCCCCAGCTTCTTCAGCAGCCGCTTCAACGTCGCCGCATCCGGCGGAATCTTCAGATACTCCACCACCGTCGGCTCAACCCCATGCTCCTTCAACAACGCCAACGTCTGCCGACTCTTCGTGCAGCGAGGGTTGTGATAAATCGTCACCTTCGCTGCCGTTTTCTTCTTCGCACTCATAGCTCTTTCAAACGTCCATTTACTGTAGGTGGCAAAGTCTGATATTGGGTGGCACCGGTTCTTGAACCGGTGCGGCAAAGCCGCAAGAGGCCCCACCGCTAAGGCCCAAACGCTTCGGCAAACCTAAAGCAACTGCAGAACCTCTCGTCGCCTACGGCGACCCCGCTTCAAGAAGCGGGGCCACCCGTTGTTTGGATCGATCCGCCTACTCCGCGTCTTTCTTCGTTTCACTCCGCGTCGGCACATACGCCACCGAGGCTTGCAACGCATGACCGCACGAACACCCGGCACTGGTCTCCGGAGCAAGCAACACCCCGCCAGCCGGGATCATGCTCAACCAGCAACCGGTCCGCACTCCCTGCATCTCGGTCCGTTCGCCCGTCTCCAGGTCCTGCATCCCGTGGAACTCGTAACGGCGGAACATCGTATGCAGCGAAGCGGACGTGACGCCGCAACCGTGCCAGTTGAAGTCGGTCACGTCCAACACGTCGCCGGTCCGCAGGTCGTACGTGTGTTTGTTGATGAACAACTGCAGTCCCACAATCGCCGGGTGAGACAAGTGCCCGCTGTGATGCGTCTTCTTCGTGGGGGCGTGATGCTGCCACAGCTCCTCACCGGTCTCCGTATCGAACGCATAGATATGGAACTGCTTCTGCTCGTCGGTTCCCGCCACCACCAGTGTGTCGGCCGCCGAGCACATGTAGGTCATGAACTGACACCGCGAGAAGTCGTACGGCTTCTCCCACACCTGTTCGCCGGTCGCCAGATCGAGCGCGACCAGGTACTGATCTTCCAATACGTCTTCAAACAGCCGCCCCGACTCGGCCTCATGCGCCTTCGGGGCACGGCTTTCCACAAAGTAAATCACATCGTCGGCAATCGTGATCGTGGAGTTGATGATCGCCCCCCGCGTGTATTCCCACACCGGCTCCCCGCTATGACGATCGCGAACAAACAACCGGTGGCTCGTAACCCGGGCGATTTGCGTATCGCGGAAGTCCTCGTACCACTCACCCCGATCACCCAGGTAAGCCGCACCCGGTTTGGTGGCCGTGCCCACCAACCGCTCGCCAACACAGGCCAGGTAACCCCACTCCTGCTGGGGAGCCCCAGACTTATCAACCGCGAAGAACAGCTCCCGCTCGCCAGTGGCCCCATCAAACCCCACGCAGTGATCGCCGATCACCACATATAAATAGTCGTCGGTGGCCACCATGTTCGAGCCATCGCGGGGAATATTCGCCCTCCGCATCGTGGGGATCTGCTGGAACCAGCGAATCGTACCGTTATACGCATCGATCCCAAACAACGTGTGATTACCCTGCACGAACAGCCGCCCCGCCGCCGTAACCGGGGCAGGATTCCGCGGTCCCCGGTCAGGCATCGCTCGCGAACCCGGCCGTCCCCACCACATCACCGATAGCGGGCCGCGTACCAAATCGTCTTGGCTGCAAGAAGCGTTGTCGGGCAACGCATACTGATGCGTCCACTCGCCCGCCCCCGGCAGTCGCCCCCGCCGCACCATGTGCCACGTTTCGGCGTCAGCCACTAAGGTCCCTGCCGAGAACTCCTCGCCAGCAGACTCAAGCCAGCCAGATAGCCCTTCGTCGGTCGAACCATACACAAACAGTCCGCCCGAAGGTCGCAACACCCGGGCCACCTCATCCAGGCCCCCGCCCGGCTGACCATCCATCAGCAACCCTTCGCTCAAAACAACATTCGCAAAGTAAGGACCATACGGCAGTTCATCCAAAGAGCCCTGATGAACCGAAACCCGGGTTCCATACAACCCGGTTTGATCGAGGTTCTTCCGAAGCTCAGCCACCCGTGCGGCATCGGGCTCGACCAGAATCACATCCAGTTCGCTATTGCGGGCCAGCTCATACGCCAGCCGGCCATCGGTGCCACCAAGCACCACCGCAAAACCTAAGGGGCTATCCAGTTCGGCCACCACCGCTTGAGCCAGCGCCCGAGCCCGGGCCGTCTGTTCATCGTCGGCATAAGGCGAAGCCAACTCGGGATCGTCACTCCGCGTGTAGTTCAACACGCCGTCGATCAGCATCAGCGGAGTGAAGTTCTCGCCACCATCTTTCTCGCCACCCACGCGAAGGTGATAGTTCTCCGGCACCTGCGGGCGCGGGATCTCAAGGGCATGCTCCCGCGTCGGCGCCTCGTCGCTCACCCGCGTAAGCTCATCATCGTCCTCGCCAAACTCCACAACCGAGGTTATCGCTTCATCGGTTCGCCAACTAACCCGCAGACGATTGCCGGGGCTCGCCTCAATAAATGGTCCCACAATCCCCGGCACGGGCACGGCCGAAGGGTTCTTGAAACTCCCCAGCGAGACAAACGTCGGATCAGGAATCTCTTTCCCCGCTTTGCCGGCGCTGTCATCCGCTACAAAGCAATGAATCGTGCCCAGGTCGGTGCTTACATAAAGCCGCCCCCCAGCAACGGCCAGCCCGTACGCATTCCCAGTAACTTCACCCTGCCAAATCGCTTCCCCGTTTTCGGTGTCGTAGGCCGTAACCTTGTCCGACCCTCCGGCGTAGAGCGTCTTGCCGGCCAGCACCAGCGATAACGGGCAATCGCAGTCCACACTCCACGGAAAGCATTCGTCCTTCTCGCGACGGCACGCCTTGTCGTCTGCACGATTCTGCTTCAACGCCTCGCTTAGCCGTTTCGCCTCGGCGCCGGTGGCCTCCTTCAACTCCTTGGCCAACTCTTTCTTTTGTGCATCGAGTTCGGCCTCACGCTTGCTGAGTTCGATATAACGCCTTCGGTCCAACGCCGTCAGTTCGGTGTCGGTATGCAAGTAAGACATCTGCGGCGTAATGATCATGTGGTTGCCGTCGAAGCTGGCAATGTTGTCCCGCTCACCCTCGGTGAAAGCCGACATCTGCCCCGTCTTGCTGGGGCCATAGAGAAACGTATCGCCGGAGATCAGGGCATACGTTCCACCAACACCACCGGAAACCTGAAACAAACGCTCGCCGGTCGCTCGGTCGAACACCAAGGGGCGATCACGCCCCGTCGTCACATACACCCGAGAAGGCGAGGCCAGCAAATACCCTTGCGCCGGGTAATCGTCCAAGGGTGTCTTCCACAGGAACTCACCGTTGGCCGCATCCAGGGCACACACATACACCCGTTCGGAAGGAAACACCCCACCGCAGCAATACGCCACGCCGTCGAACACCACCACGCCGGTGCGCACGGCCCACAGCGAGGACATCCGCCCGTTGCCCGGAACACGGCGATCGCGCGGCCCCAGCAGTTGCTTCCAAACCAGGTTGCCGGTGTCAGCATCGAGACAATACACATATCCGTCGTCGCTACCGACATACACGCGGCCGTCATCCACCGTGGGAGCCAAACGCACCGGGCCTTCGGTGTAGAACTGCCACTTCAGCGAACCGTCGGCCGCATTCAGACAGTACACCTTGTCGTCGGACGAAGAGGCGAAGAACACCGCGTCGTCGACCGCGGCCACATGAAACGCCTTGTCGAAGGTTTGGCGATTCTTCAGCCGGAACACCTTGTTGTATCCGTCCCACGTGGCCGGCTCGTCCCAGGCCGGGCGGGGAGGATAGTGCGAACGGAATGCCCACCCTTCAACCAGCGAGGGGGAAAGTTGCTCTTCGCTAACCGCCGTGCGAGACGCATCGTGGTTGTAGGTCGGCCAGTTGTCGGCCACGGCCCGAGCAGCCGCACTGGCAAATACCGCGGTTAGTAAAAGACACCCGATGGCTTGCCAGCCGCGGACGCAAGACAGAACAGACATGGCTTCTTTCCGGTTCGAGAATATCGCTCGAATGCGTGATTGATCGAAACACCAAGATATAGCAAAGCCGCCGAACGACCCAGGCGGGCCCGGCGTCAGCGTGTTAACGGAAGATTAAGATCTCAGGCGGGGATGGATTGATTCTGGTGGCGATTGTGGTTTTCGACACCCTCCGCAAGCGTTGAGCGAGGGATTGCACAAGCTCGGACTCGCGACACCTTGTCGCCTGCGGCGATCCAGCCGGCGCGGCTGGACCACCCTCCGCATGACCTCACCTTAAAAGTTATCGCACTGCTTGTAGGCATCGATCACGGCCCGCTCACCCTCTTTACCGGGCTTCGAGTTGCCGTGTTCCATGCCGACCACGCCGTCGAAACCTTTGTCGTGGATGTATTTGAACACGTTGAGGTAATTGATCTCGCCGGTGGTCGGTTCCTTTCGCCCCGGGTTGTCGCCCACCTGAAAGTAGCCAATCTCGTCCCAGGCCCGTTCCATGTTGGGAATCAAATTCCCTTCGCTAATCTGCTGGTGATAAATGTCGAACAGAATCTTGCACGAAGGACTGTTGACCGCGCGGCAAATGAGATACGCCTGCGGAATCTTGTTCAAGAACAACTCCGGATGATCGCGCCAGTGATTCAGCGGCTCGAGCACCATCACCAAGCCCGAGGGCTCGCAGATCGCCGCGCACTGCTTCAACGTTTCGATCACGTTGGCCGTTTGATAATCCATCTCCTGCCGATGATCGATCAGGCCTGGCACCACCGTGCACCACTTGGCGTTCACCCGTTTGGCCACTTCCACGGCCTTCCGCATGTCGTCCAAAGCCTTCTCACGAAATTCCTTCTTGCCCGAAGCGAACGTCGGATCTTGGAAACTGCCGGTGGCGACGAACACGCCCATCTCCATCCCCTGTCGTTGCATCTCGGCGGCGATCTTCTCTTGCAACTCCACATCGCGACCAGCCATGCCGTTGTCTTCCAGGGCGGTGAACCCCTCGTCGGCCATGAACTTCACCTGGTCGACCAGGTCGTTGCCCGCATGATGGCGGAACATGCCGAAGTGCGGGGCATACTTCAGGTTGAACCCCTTTTCGTCGTCGTAGGCCATGGCCCGCGAAACCGCACTTCCTGCCGCGGCCACAGTGCCCGCGGCAACGCATTGCTCGAGAAACGCTCGTCGGTGCATCGTTCAATCAACTCCAGGTGTTCGAATCAGGTTGCAATGTTGGCTGAAAAGCTTTCGTCATATCTGACGAGGGTGCCACTGCTGGCTTGTCCAGCAGTGAGGACTTCGCCGAAAACGCACTGCTCGACGAAGCAGGTGTGCCACCCAAGTTGGGTCTCAAACTACTTCTCGCCCGGGTGATATTGCCGCTGGGCGGCCGAGGTGATTTCGGTCCAGTCGTACAGTTCAGGCTTCAGCTTCTTCTGGGCCATCAACTCGGTCTGGTCCATGAAGTTCGGCGAGTTGGGGTCGGCATTCGCGCCGAACTGCGTCAGCGTCGCCCCACGAATCCCCTCGGGCGTGAACTCGAAGGCCGCCAGGTAACTCGTCCCCACCACGCCATAGTTCTTCTTGATCTGCTTCACGAACGGAATGTTGATCGACGGCGTGTAGAAGTTCGTAAACACCGACCCCATCAAACCCGGCACAGCGGCGCACGGCACGCTCGGCTTCTTGTCATCGAAGGGAATCAGCAGGAACTCGGCCACATCGGGGTGCCGCTGCATGCGATGCACTTCGCCCCACGGCACTTTCCAATCGCCGAAGGTGCCCTTCAGCTTGAGCGCCCCATCGACCAACGCCCGGAACTTCAAGTCGGGGTTATCAATAAACTTCTGCTGCAGCGGCATCTCAGGCGGATAAACGCTGCCGTAAAGTTCCGAGAACCACGCCTCACACAACGTCGATTGCGTGCACTCCAGCGTATTCACACAGTCCCAGTCCAGCAGATGCTCGAAGTACGGGGCCGCCTTTTCGGCTAGCTTCGGGTCGCGTTCGGCCATCGCCTGGTATTCACGCTCGAGTTGAGGCAACTGCGACAGTGGCCAATACATCCGGGTGTCGAACACCAGTTCTTGCAACTGCTCGAACGTAAGATCGTGCACGTCGCGGAGAATCATTCGGCTGACCTTCGAACGTAGCTTGTCGATGTTCTTATCTTCAGCCAGGTACGGCGGGAAGTCGTCGATCAACGGGTTGCCGACGTCGGTCGTCGTGAATGGCGATGAGTTACAGCTTTGCAGCCAGCCACTGGGCGGGTCGACAATCTGCGGCAATTCGTTGAAGCTGTGCAGCCCTTGCCACAGGTGATCGGGATTGCTGCCGTCGAGCGTGCCCGACGAATCGACCCCCGGCACCCGCTCCGGAATCGCCCCATTGTAGACGTAATAAATATGTCCATCGCGGTCGGCATACACCGTGTTGAAGAATAACAAATCCCGCGACGACATCGCGTCCTGGAACTCTTCCAGGTTCTTGGCCCGCAACATCTTCAAATGCTGACCCACCAGGTTGGCTTCCATCAGGTTGCCAATGCCAATCGCAATGAAGTCGGTCTCGTTGAGCTGTGCAATGATCGGACCATGCACGGTGCTGCGGAAGGTGTGCTCCTCTTCCTCAACCCGGGAACCCTTGCGAACCTTCACCGTGCTCGTCCAGCGGTCGGCCGTTAACGTCTCATCACCCAAGCGATACTGGTCGGGGTTGTCGGGGTCGTCGAACTTCACCAACCAGAAGTCGATGTTGTCCGGCCGGTTCACCGTGTGCGACCAACCCAAGTGTTGGTTATGCCCGATAGAAAGCAACGGATAGCCAAAGAACGTGGCCCCCGAAAAATCGTACTCATCCCCGTTACGAATGTGAGCTTCGTAGAACTGACCGTACCCGAACGACGGCTGATGCGGATTGCACATCAACATTGCATTCCCACTGGCCGTCCGGTCGCCCGAGATGGCCCAGGCGTTCGAGCCCACCGGCGAAGCAATCACCCGCGGGTCGCCGTCCATGTATTTATGCGGGATGTACTTCGTCGTCAGCAGGAAGTCCATGAACAGGTGCCGCTGACAGGCCAGCAGGTTCCAACCCTCGAAGTGCGTGATCAACCGCGGCTTCGTCTCGGGGTGGGTGGCCAGGTAGTAATTCAAGCCCGCCGCGAACGCTTCGCACACGGCCTGAGTTTCAGCATCCAGCTTGGCGAAGTCTTCCGGCGAACTATCTGCAATACGAAACGCCCGATTCAGGAGGTCGCCATGAATACTCCTCGACCCGTTCACTTCGGCATAACGCCCCAGGGCTTGCAGATAACTGTCTTCCACTTGCCAGAAGAAGTCTTCGGCCTGGGCATATGCAAACCCGAACGCGGCCGCCTGATCGTTTTCGGCGTCGATGTGCGGCACGCCGTAGGAATCGCGATAAATGGTCACCTGTTTGGCGAGCTGCTCGGGGTCGACTTCAACTGCCTGCACAACCGTCGCACCAACAACCAAGCTCACGCCCGCCAACACTGCGGCAGCCATGCGAAGTTTCTGCGACCAAGACCGATTCCCGTGGTATTTCACGCTGGATGCCTCCGTTAGGAGCTGAAGAAAGAGAGCCCGTCCGAGGCGTCTAGTGTAGTCGAAACCCCAGCGCGGGACACCAGTTTGGGCCTCACCAGGGCCCCCGCCATTGCAGCGAACCGACTGGCAAACCCCCGGCATGTTGCGAAATCCGCCAGCCGGACCTACGCTGGTGGCCTCAATTTCGGCCATCGTCAATTCATAACCGCTGGCCCGATCCGCGAATCTCACACACCCCGGGTGGACTTCACCCCGATCCACAAACGCACGGACGAACCGTTATGGCAGACGAGCGACGAAACGCAATCATCACCGGCGGGGCCAGCGGACTGGGCCGCGCTCTCGCCCTGCGATTGGCTCGCGACGGCTGGAACATCGCCATCTGCGACATCAACGATGAGGCCGGTGCGACCGTGGTCGAGGAAGTCAAAGCCGCCGGCGGCGACGCCCGTTTCGAACACCTCGACGTGACCGATGTCCAGCAATGGCAACAACTCAGCGAGCGATTGCGGGCCGAATGGAGCACGCTCGACCTGTTGGTGAACAACGCCGGGGTGGCCGCCTCGGGCAACATGGGCGAAGCCCCTCTCGAAGACTGGCGGTGGATCGTCGACGTCAACCTGTTCAACGGCATCTACGGTTGCCACACCTTCGTCGATTGGTTGAAGGCCAACCCCCGCGGGTCGCACATCATCAACACCGCCTCGTTGGCCGCCATCGGGTCGGCACCTTCGATGGCCTCCTACAACGTCACCAAGGCCGGCATGTTGGCGCTCTCCGAAACGCTCTACGCCGAATTGAAACCGCACAACGTGGGAGTGACCGTTCTCTGCCCGGCGTTCTTCGCCACCAACTTGCTCAAGGGCGGGCGCTTCCACGATGATAAATTACGCAACATCGCCGAAAGCGCATTTCGCAAGTCGAGTCTCACCGCCGACACCGTCGCCGACGAAGCCGTGCGAGCCATGCACCGCAAGCAGCTCTATGTCATCCTTCCACGTAAAGCCCGACGCTACTGGTGGTTCAAACGACTGGCTCCCCAACGCTATCTCAACGTGATCGCCAAGATGTCGAAAGACGGCCCCCGAGATTCCATTTAGCTTCAGCTAGCTGGGGGGTGCATAACGGCGACGCATCAATCCCGGTGCATGCTTCGCGCATGAAGTTTCAGAATTAGTTCGTTGACGATTCGCCCTTAAGCGGGGAAAATTCCGGGAGTTACTTTTCTTGCTTGCACAGGGGCGCCGGTTCTTCCATGCGTCGCCATCGCGGGCGGCGGCGTTCTCCTGATTCACGGGAGTCGCGTCATGACTACGTTCGAAGTCGCAAATCAAAACGACATTGCTCAACAAACTTTGATCGAGCACGAATTGCTCGGCCATATCATGTCCAGCTTGCGATCCATCGTCGCCTGGAAGGTCTCCGATACGGGGGCTTCACGCAAGCTGTCGAGTCTGACTTTCGTCACCCATGCTCTTCAGCGTCACTTCGACAGGTTAATGACCCTCGAAGAGCAAGACGGCTACATGAGCATGGTCATTTCTGAAAACCCTGCTCTCAGCGAAAGCGTCGATGCTCTCTGCCTCGAACACCAAGGGTTCCGCAGCGACATCAACCGCCTTGTTTCGCAGTTGGAACATCTCAACCCCGACGACTGCGGGCAGGTCGAGCTGGTCTCGGGCGAGTTGCTAGCATTGCTCTCTGATATCGATCGTCACGGCTGCCAAGAGATCCAGCTCATTCAGCAAGCACTGCTGCAAGACGAAGGTGGCGAGGCATAACGCGGTCGCGCCGCAAGCCGAATGAGAGCAATCGAAGTCCTATTTAAGAGAAACGCTGGAGAGCTGCGCAAAGATTGCCGAATATCAGGATGACGTGAAGCGTGACGGCTCCTACAGAGTCGGAACGCGCTGCTAGCGTCGGCTTAGCAGGGGGGTTTGCGAAAGCCGAGCGTTTCTCTCGTGATCTGCTGCTTTGATACAACACCGCGACGTACTTCACACGCCACGCTGCTGACGTGTTTGCTCGCAATCGCCGGAAGCTTCGGCATCGCGATGCAAACCAATGCGCAAGACCCATCTGGCCTTCGCTCGTACCCCCTCCAGCACGTTTCCCCGGCGCATGTTAAATCGGTTCTCGATCCGCTGCTTCCTCCTGGCGAAATGAATGCCCAGGTGGTTGCCGACGAAGCCGCCAATCGGCTGCTCGTTTCCGGTTCGCCCGAAGTCCACCGCATCACCGTCGGGCTCATCCAATCACTCGACACACCCCCGCGAAATCCGCGGCCGACCAATCCGAGCCGGATGGAAACCTATCCCTGCCCGCCCGGTCAGCTCGATCATTGGGCGCAAATCGTTGCCAATGACTTCGCCAACCGACCAGACGTCAGGGTCAGCGTCGATCGCGCCTCGGGCCAACTCATCGTCGTCGCACCCGAAGATGTCCACCAGGCGGTCACCGGCCGACTCTTCACCCCCGCCGGTCAAACTCCCACCACGCCCAATCAGTTGCCCGCCACACGTAGTGGTAACCAAATCGCCGCCCCGCGGTACTATCAACTTCGCAATACAACCGTTGAAGAAATCGAACCTATCTTCGCCGGCATGATGGCCCGCCGCGTTCAGCCGAACCCCAACACGGCCCTCGGGCTGCCCGGCTACGAAGTAACCGATGCCACCGGGAAACACGCCTCAGTGGGCTTCAGCCAGATTCAACAACGCGTCGTTGTCGGCGGCACCGAACCGCTGGCCGGTCAACTGCTGCGATTGTTCGAAGTGCTCGATGCCTCGGAAGACACCCGCGATCACACCGTGCGGATCGTCCCCCTGGGCAAAGCCGACCTCAGTAAAGTTCGCAGCGCGGTCGAAGCCTATCAAAACCAGGGACAAGATCCGAATTCGAGTGCTCAGCCAAACCGTTTGCACGACGCCTCGTCGGCACACGATGCAACCGAAAACCAATTCCCGGTGCGTCGAGCCGCCTTCGAAGCACCACGCGACGCCCGACCGTTCCAGGTGGCCAACCTCATCTTCGCCCAGCAACCGGCCGAAGGGCCTCCGCCACGACCGGAAGACGAAGGCGATCAGTCCGGCGACTTGAGCCCCGACATCGAAGTCGAGGCTCTCCCCGATCTCGACGTGATCATCCTCCGCGGCGATCGACACGACGTGGACGAAGTGCTGCGAATCATCGAAGAGATCGAGCGCCTCAGCGCCGAAGAGCAACCCATCGTGGAGGTTTACTCCCTCAAGCATGTCGGCAACGAACAGGTCGGCGAATTGATCACCAAGATCGAAACCGCCCTGCTCGCCAGTCGACAAGGCCGAGTCAGCGTCACACCTCTAGGCAAGCCGAACGCCTTGCTCCTCATCGGGCGCGGCGATGCGGTCGAGGTCGTCAAAGACCTACTGGTCAAGCTAGATCAGCCCGTCTCGCCCGACAGCAGTGCTCAAGTATTCCGCTTGGAACACGCGGCAGCCACAGCAGTGGCAACCACCATCGAACAGTTCTTGGCGAATCGCGAAAACCTGGGCACCAAAGCCATGGTCACGCCCGACGTCCGCAGTAATTCGCTGGTCGTCCATGCCAGCCCGCGCGATATGCAAGAGATCAAGGAACTGGTTCAACGCCTCGATGTGGGCGAAAGCCAGGCCGTGAATCAACTGCAAGTGTTTCATCTCCGCAATACGCTGGCCAGCGACTTGGGCCCGCTGCTGCAAGCCGCCATCACCGGACAGGGTGGCGGTCGTGCTCAAGATCAACGTTCGAGCGTCCTGCAGTTCCTCACCATCGAACCCGGTGGCGAGCGGCTCCTCAAGTCGGGCATCTTGAACGATGTTCAGGTCACCCCCGATCCACGCACCAATACGCTGCTGGTTTCCGCACCGGCCGAAAGCATGGCCTTGATCGGCGCTCTCATCGAGCATCTCGATCAACTGCCCGCCGCCGTGGTGCAAATCAAGGTCTTCAAAATCATCAACGGCGAAGCCTCTTCGCTGGTGCAGATGTTGCAAACCCTGCTGGGCACCTCCATCGGGGTCGGCCCACAACTCCCCCGGGCCGAAAGCGAATCGTCGCTAGCCCCGTTGCGGTTCTCCGTCGACGAACGAACCAACAGCATCATCGCTTCCGGCTCGGCCGGCGACCTGACCATTGTCGAAGCCATCTTGCTGCGATTGGACGAGAAAGACATCGAGAATCGCCGCAGCACCATCTTCCGTCTGCGTAACGCCCCCGCCATCGACGTGGCCGTGGCGATCAATGAGTTCCTGCGGAGCGAACGGCAAGTGCAGCAAGCCGCCCCCGGGGCATTCAGTCCTTTCCGTCAAATCGAATCGGAAGTGGTCGTGGTACCCGAGCCGGTGAGCAACGCCCTCATCATCAGCGCTACGCCCCGCTTCTACGACGAAATCATGGAGCTGGTCGAAGACCTCGACGAGCAACCGCCCCAGGTGATGATCCAGGTGCTCATCGCCGAAGTGCAGTTGAACAACACCGACGAGTTCGGCATCGAATTGGGTCTGCAAGACTCGATCCTCTTCGACCGCAGCATCTTGGGCGACCTGCTCACGGTGACCAACAGCGTCTCGACTCCCGGCACCGGCGTAGTCACAACCAACGACGTGATTGTTTCAGCAACCAACAGCCCCGGCTTCGCATTCAATGGGGCTCCCCTGGGCAACTCCGGCGAACCAAACGCCCTGGCCAACAGCGGAACCATCGGAACCCAAGGCCTCTCGAACTTCGCCGTCGGTCGCGTGAACACCGAACTGGGCTACGGTGGTCTTGTCCTTTCGGCCAGCAGCGACAGCGTGAGTGCTCTGGTTCGCGCACTGCAAGAATCGCGACGCCTCGACGTACTTAGCCGTCCGCAAGTGATGACACTCGACAACCAGCCGGCGTTCATCCAAGTCGGTCAACGGGTGCCCCGCATTACCGGAACCACCATCAACCAGTTCAGCCAGGTGAACACCATCGACCTGGAGAACGTGGGCCTCATCTTGGGCGTCACCCCACGTATCAGCCCCGAGGGGATGGTCGTGATGGAAATCGACGCTGAAAAATCGAACCTCGGCCCCGATGCCGAAGGTATCCCGATCTCCATCTCGTCCACCGGCGACGTCATTCGTTCGCCCCGCATCAACACCACCCGCGCTCAAACCACCGTAAGCGCCGCCGATGGCCAAACCATCGTCTTGGGAGGTCTCATCACCAACGAAGAAACCACCATCGCCCGTCGGGTGCCGTGCCTGTCCGACATTCCGATCGTGGGCATGCTGTTCCGTTACGATGCCCAAATCGATCGTCGCTCCGAGCTACTGATCGTGCTCACGCCCCATGTGGTTCGCGATGAGGCCGATGCTGAACGAATCCGACAAATCGAGTCGGCTCGCATGCACTGGTGCATGGCCGATGTGGTCAAGCTGCACGGCGACGGCACGGTTTGTCATCGCGGCGACTGTGTGCATTGCCAGAACGGTGGCGAGGTCATCTATCCCGACGGCATGCCTGTCGAAATGATGGAAGAAGGAGTTCCCATCGAAGTGATCGACGAAGGAGTGCCGGTCGAGGAACTGCCCAACTCTCCAATGCTGGGCAATCCCCAGGGCAGCCATCAGCAACCCGGTCAGATGACGGCCCCACCCGGATCGGCACCGGTACCCCACATGTCGAATGCCCCCGCGGGCGTAGTCCAACCACAAGCAGCAGCGCAGTTCCCGGGGCAGGTACAACCGGCCGGCTATCAGGCAGCCGCACCTCCGCATGTTCCCTATCGATGACGCGCGATACGTAGAGCTACACGATGCAGATGATCACCTTGGCCAGAACAGTCTCGCTCCAATGTCATACTCGCTTCGCGGCGTTGAGCCACCTGTGCGCGAAATCCCTGGGCCTAATGCTGTGCGCTCTGTCGCTCGCAGCTACCCCCGGATGCACGATGCTCAACTCGACGTGGGACGAGATGGCCTCTTGGAATGACAAGGTGCCGTGGAAAGACAGCGACGAAGACGACGAAGTCAAAATCCCCTCGCGAATCACCGTTGTCTGGACCGACAGCGTGATGAGTCGACCAGGAGTGCAGTCGCAACGCGGCTTTGGTGGCCGAATGATGTTCTACGAGAACCACGACGAAGACCCAATCAAGGTCGACGGCCAACTCGTGATCTACATGTTCGACGAGACCGATCGCGATCCAGAGAATTGTGTGCCCGAGCGCCGCATCATCATCACGGCCGACCAATTCAAGAACCACTACAGCAAGTCGAGCGTCGGCCACTCGTACAGCGTTTGGGCCCCCTGGGGCGATGTGGGCGGACACCGCAAGCAAATTAGCATGGTGGCCCGCTTCGAACCCACCGATGGCGGTGGCTCGATCATGTCGGAGCTAACCAAGCAACTTCTGCCCGGCACCGACCCGCCGCAAATCGCCGAAAAAGAGAATAAGTCGGAGACGGAAAACACCGCCACTTCGCCGGTTCAGCAAGCCGCCTTCACCACCGGTCAGCCCGGTGCGGCAGTGCCCGCGGTTTCCTACGAACAACCTCAGCCCAGCATGCAAACCACAACGATCACAATTCCGCCTTCGTCGGCATCGGTACCGCAAGTGGTCGACAACCAGGTGGCGCTGAACACCATTCCCAATCTGGCCGCCGTCACGAACTCCCAGGCCGCATCACCGCTCGGCACAGGAACGCTTCCCGGGCAACCTGGAAGCAATGTCGCCGCGGAAGAAAACCCTCAGGCCGAATCGCCCGAGGTTATTGATCAACGGAAGGCGTGGGAGGCGTATCGTCAGGGAGGCTGGGAAGCGTATCGAAAGCTCCGTCAAACGGAAGCGCTTCATCCGACGATTCGCCCACAATCGTCAGTTCATTCTGCACCGAGGACACACCAGCTTCCAGCAGCGTCAATTGCTGAGCCAAGAGACGCTCGTGCTCCGATGCGACCTCACCCTGCAGGATGGCCGTCCGGCCCTGCATCGAAACCACCAGCGGACCTACCGTCTGCTCAGGGTGGCGCAGTGCCAGGGCTTCCCCAACATTCGCAGCAATATCCTCCGCAATTACCATCGGGGCAACTTCCGGGGGCGTAAAGCCTAACTGCAACCGCGGTGCATACGGCAGTGCGGGCGAAGGATCTCTCGGCTGCGGTTGATTCACATTCGGTTGCTGCGGCGGTTGCAGATTGATAATCGCCGAGCGAATCGTTCCCCGACTGCGGCCTTGCTGAAGACCGACAAAGTTCGGCGTATCAGCCATGTCGGTTCCCACGAAATCGCGCGCACTCCGGTTCCCGCGAATGAACCGCTCGCGTCCCGTCAGCTCGCCAATCTCTTCGGCGGCCGCCAGGTTCGGGCCCGGCTGACGACTCAACGACTGCCCCAACACCCGGGGACCAAACATTTGTGCGCCGGCCTGCTGAACATCGCTTACGAACAGCACTGCCAAGACGAAGGGGATCAAGTAACGGATCATAGACCGTGGGACCTCGGTGGGAGTATCATGGTGGCAGGATTGGCGGCGATTTCGAATCCTCATTTATACGAGGGTGCCACAGCTAGCTCGTCTAGCAGTGCCTGTCGCGGGTTCTCTCACTGCTGGACAATCCAGCCGTGGCACCCACTCTCGATATCGAAACCGCCTCTTCTAAATATACACCACGCATTGCACGACGATCAGCCCGTCTGTAACGGCTGGGCAAGATCTCCCTTTCGTCTCAGGAGCTTCGACCCGGATGAGCAAACCCATCGAATATGTGATGATCGGGGGCTTCCTCGGCGCGGGCAAAACCACCACCATCGCCCGACTTGCGCAAATGTATCAGGACCAGGGCAAGAAGGTCGGCATCGTCACCAACGACCAAGCCACCGATCTCGTCGACACGCAAACGCTCCGTTCGCACGGCTTCCGCGTAGGCGAAGTCGCCGGGGCCTGCTTCTGCTGCAACTTCGACGAACTCACCGGCACCATCGAGCAACTCTCCGTCGACGAGCGCCCCGACGTGCTGCTGGCCGAACCGGTCGGCAGTTGCACCGACCTGGTTGCCACCGTCATTCGCCCCTTGGCCAAACTCTACGACGACCAGTACGACATGGCTCCGTACGCCGTCATCCTCAAGCCAAGCCACGGGCGGAAGATCCTCGAAGGCGGCGAGCAAGCCGGCTTCTCTCCCAAGGCCGAATACATCTTCCGCAAACAACTCGAAGAAGCCGACCTCATCCTCATCAACCGCATCGACGAACTCAGCCCCGATGAAGTCGCTCGACTCATCGAGTTGCTCAAAGCCGAACAGCCGGACATCCCCATCCTTCAAATCTCGGCCCGCACCGGACAAGGCTTCGATGGCCTCCTCGAGATGCTCGATCAGCGCGGCAACTTCGGTCGCCGTGTCTTGGAACTCGACTATGACGTCTACGCCGAAGGCGAAGCCGAACTCGGCTGGCTCAACAGCAGCGTGAAGATCGAAGCGGCCGAGTCGTTCGATCTCGATGCGGTGCTCATGGAGATCGTCACCCGCTTGCAACGCGTCTTGCGAGATGAAGATGCCGAAACCGCCCATCTCAAGGCCATCGCCCTCTACGAAGGTTTTTACGGTGTGGCCAACCTCATCGATCGCGAGACCCCGCCCGAGTTGTCATTGCCTTCGAACTGCAATGCCAAGTCGGCCGACCTGGTCATCAATGCTCGCGTGGCGATCGACCCTGCTCAGTTAGAAGAGCACGTCATTCGCGAAGTGGAAAAGGTCGCCGCAGCCCGTGGGGCCACACTCACTTGGCGACAGACTCAGAGCTTTCGTCCCGGACGACCTGTCCCGACTCATCGTCTGACGGCTGACTAGTCCGTCCCTGGCTCCGCTCGAAGTGCGCCCGCGGTACATCCACCTCAGGGTCCACGGCCTTGGTCGGAACCGCACCGATCTGCCGCCACTTCCACAGATGGATGCGGCAGCAAATCAAGCCCACGGTGTAACCCACTGCCGCGCCGGCAAACACATCACTCATGTAGTGCGCGCCCACGCTCAAACGATGAACTCCAACCAGCACCGCCAGCGAAAAGAACAACCACCGCGCCCGTGGGTAAAGCAACGATAGCGCCATCGCCAGGCCGAATGCCGTGGTGGTATGCCCCGATGGGAAGCTTTGCGTTTCACTCGAAAAGTTGGTCAGCGCCAGCCACCCCTGAAAGGTCTCGCCCACCGGTGCATCGAAAGTAAACTCAGCCGGTCGCACCCGCACGATGTTGATTTTGATCAGGTTCGTCACCATGCCAGCACCCTGACTCGCCACGAATACCATCAGCAAGTCGCGCCGGCGGACCTGATCGAGAAGAAAGATGAGGATGCAGAAGACGAACACACAGGTTCCGTCGCCAAAAGGTTCGGCCGCATCGACAATCTCATGCAGAATGTCGGGCGCGTTATCCTGCAAGAACCACTTCGACACCTCGAGGTCGAACGGAAAGGCTGCACAGGTCGCCACGCAGAAAGCAACCAACGGCACAGCCCAAACCCAACGACTCCCTACCAAATCATAAAACCGATCCCGGTCGTAAGGGTCCTTCGGCCCTGCCTCGGAAGCGAGGATTGCATCGCCGGAAAACAGACGGGCGAATCTTTGACGAAGACCAAGCATGCTAAAACCTGAACGAAAAAGTCTCGTCGAATCGTGCCAATTCGAAGGCACCCAATAGCGGGGGCTGGAGTGAGGCCGTTTTACTCATTTCCCATTCCCCCGGCCATGCCAAGTATAGCCATTTAACCAAAAGCTCATCTTTCGCCGAGCCATGTGATTACGGTCGTTGCTCGAAGCATGCTCGAAAACCCCCGCTGCTAGCAGCCAATCTCAACCGGTATCTAGCAGCATAGGAGCCAGCCAACTCAAAGATCCGTCCAGCACCGTCTGCGTCGCGTTGTTGTGCCGTCGTGGTTCCTCTCCCACATCAGCATCCTGCCGCATTCAGCCCCCAATCCTCTCGCCCCGCATGACGGCACCGCCAGCTAGCCCGAATGATGTTGCCTCGTTCAATCGGCTCGCTCTAGACTCCCCACCCGAATTGTCCAACCTCGGGAGTTTCTGTCCATGCATCAATCGTTGCGACATCATCTCTGGCTGCTCGGCGTCGCCCTGGTCGTCCTGTTTACCAGTCTGGGCGGGGGTGCATTGTTTGACGAAGACGAACCCAAGAACGCCTCTTGCGCCCGCGAGATGATGGCCCGCGGCGATTGGGTTGTGCCGACCTTCAATTACGAACTCCGCACCGACAAACCCATTCTGCTCTACTGGCTGATGATGGGCGCCTACAGCGTCTTCGGCGTGAACGAGTTCGCCGCCCGTTTCTGGTCGGCCGTGTTGGGCACCGGAACCGTGTTCACCGTCTACAACATCGGCGCACTCCTCTTCCGCCCCCGCGTCGGGCTACTCGGCGGCATGATTATGGCCACCAGTTTGATGTTCGTCGTATCCTCGCGCGCGGCCACGCCCGACTGCACACTCATCTTCTTCTCGACCTTGTCGATGTTCCTCTACCTCCGCGCGATCGCACCCCATACCGGAGAAGACGGCCCTCGTTGGCAAGCCGATAAGAACGACAACACCACCACGCTGGGGCTCGACGTCTCAGCCGTAACCCCGCGCACCTGGACCGCCGCACTGCCCAGCTTCGCCGCCATGGGCGTCGCCGTGTTAGGCAAAGGACCCGTCGGCGTCATCCTTCCGCTGGGCGTACTGTCCCTCTTCGTCCTCGTCGCCACCTGGACCCCTCCCACGGCCGCACCCGTCGAAGGAAAACTCAACCGCCTTTGGGCATGGCTTCGCCGCACCTCAACCTGCCTGGCTCCCCGCCATGTCTTCACCACACTTCTCGCCGTGCGACTACCCCTGGCCGTACTCGTCGTTCTAGCCATCGCCCTCCCCTGGTACGTCCTGGTGGGTTGGAAGACCGACGGCGCCTGGCTCGCCGGCTTCCTCGGCAACCACAATGTGGGCAGATTCGTCTCGGCCATGGAAAACCACCGCGGGCCGATCATCTATTACATCCCCGCCATCATCATTGGCTTCTTCCCCTGGTCGATCTTCCTCACCCTCAGCGGCATCCAACTCACCAGACAGCTCCGCCGCCACGAAACCTGGCGCACCGGTCACCTGTTCCTCGCCTGTTGGGCAGGGCTGTGGATCGGATTCTTCTCCCTGGCCGGTACAAAACTCCCCAGCTATGTCCTGCCGGCCTACCCCGCGTTGGCACTGCTGACCGCCACGTTCCTCGAACGCTGGATGATGGACCCCGCGAAGATGAGCCAAACCTTGGCCCGTGGAGCACTCGGCTCGTTGGTGCTCGTCGGCCTGGGCATCATCATCGCCATGCCGATCGTCACCTACTACTTACTGCCCGGCTATTGGCCGCTGGCCTTCGTCGGCATCATTCCGCTCATCGGCGGCATTGGCTGTCTGTGGTTCTTTGAACACGGCCACGTTCCCACCAGCGTAGCCACCTGCACCGCCACCGCCGTATTGTTCTGCGTCGCAATGTTCGGCGTGGCCGCACCCCAAGTCGCCACCCAACAAAACAGCGCACCTCTGGTAGAACAAGCGGCCGAACTCCAAGGCGGCGCCCCCCGCGTCGCCACCTACGACTTCTTCGTCCCCAGCCTCGTCTTCTACGCCCAAAGCCCGGTGGCCCGCTACGTCCAACCCACCGACGTGCAACAGTTCTTCGCCGACTCCTCCAACGCCTACCTCGTCACCCGAGCCGAAGCCCTCGAACAGCTCCGCCCCATCCTCCCCGACGACGTCGACGTCCTCGCCGAACAGCGCCGCTTCCTCCGCCGCGGCAACCTCATCCTCCTCGGCCGCCCCATCCCCGCCGTGGCGTATCGAGAAGGTAAACGCACCGTGCGGTAAGCGCATCGTCACCAATCGCGTTCGACCCTGCGCAATATTCGAGCTCAATGCACGAATAACTCTGAAAGACTGAGCTCCTTTGCTCAGAACACTTGCGCACGTCGAGAATTCGCCTCCCCATGCCACCCCTTACCCCACAGGGCAAACAGAAGCCGCTCCGGCGCCGCTTCCGTTTCAGCGTTCGATCACTACTCCTCGGCATGGCCATCATCGCTGCGCTCCTTACTTGGCTGGGGAAACCAATTTACCGTTCCCGCATCCAGCGACCGATCGCCCGGCAGATTGAAGCTGCCGGCGGTACGGTCGTGTACCACTACCAGTTGAAACCTGGGGCGATCGACTGGTCGAAACCGCCGCCCGGCCCCGCCCTCATTCGTTCGCTATTGGGAGACGACACCTTCGCGAACGTCGGGACAGTCCACCTTGGCGATTCCCCCACCGACGAAGATGTAGGTCAACTCCCCCAACTGCCCGCTCTACTCGAAGTATCACTGCACGGCGACGGCATCACAGATCGATGCGTCAGCGATCTGCTACAGATACGAAAGCTTCGAGGGCTCGCACTCGCACACACCGCCATCAGCCCCGAGGGTATCCAACAGCTAGCCGAGTCCCAGACCCTGCAGAGCCTATCCCTCATGGGCCCAGAGATCACCGACGCACATGCGCGGCAACTCCACCGCTTCCCAAAGCTCCGCTACCTCCAGCTAGCGAGAACCTCTGTAACTGATGACGGCCTCAAGTCACTCTCCCCTCTCATCAAACTCCGTCAACTCAATCTATTCTCAGCCCCTTCCATCACAGACACCGGAGCCGCATGGCTCAGAGACTTAAAGAACCTCGAAGAACTCAGGCTCCTCGAAACAGGAATCACCGATGAGGCTCTCAGCACGATTGCTCGCATTCCATCCCTGCAGATACTTCAACTGCGAGGCAAAGCAATCACCGACTCAGGACTCATGAAGCTCGAAACCCTACACAACCTTCACTGCCTTCAACTGAACGAGACAAGCATCGGCGACCAAGGCTTGCTCATGGTCACGCACATGCCCCAGCTCCAGTATCTCTTTCTCAATGGCACTAATATTTCCAATCAGGCCCTGCGCCATCTTCAATCCCTGCACAATCTCGAACACCTCCATCTCAGTCACACGGCCATCACCGACGAAGCAATTGAGCCCCTGGCCCAACTGAAATCGCTCCGTTCACTAGAGTTGACCGTGGGCAATGGCGTCTCCATCGAAGGCGCGACCTCTCTGCAGCAGGCCCTCCCCGAGTGCACATTCCGTTGTGAGGACCCCAACGGCTCCAGCATCACGCTCGACACGAAGTAACCGCCACGCACTGCGACAAAATCAAACCCCCGCCCGCTATCCCTCACCCCCGCTCCCACGTAAGATGCTGGTTTTCGCAAATCTGCGTTGGGAGTTCCTGTGGCTAGTGTTGTGTTGAAAGCCCGCAAGGCGGGTCCGTTCTTTGGGCGGCATCCCTGGGTGCTCGATTCGGCCATCGACCGTGTGGACGGCGTGGTCGACGATGGCGATGTGGTCGAACTGGTCACGCCCAAGGGCGACTGGATCGCTCGCGGCGTCTACAACAGCAACAGCCGCATCCGCGTCCGGCTCTACACCTGGAACGCCAACCAAATGCTCGATCAGGCCTTCTGGCTCGAGCGCATCCAACGCGCACTCGACCTTCGCCGCGATCTGTACTACGACGACCCCGACGGCGCGGCCCGGCTCATCTTCAGCGAAGCCGACGGCCTCAGCGGGCTTATCGTCGATCGCTACGGCCCGTACCTGGTCGTTCAACCCGGCGCCCTGGCCATCCATCACCGGCTCGACGACATCGTGGCCCTGCTCCGCGAAACCCTCAACCCCCGCGGCATCGTCCTTAGGGCTGAAAAGGGCATCGCCCAGCGCGAGGGCATTCAGCCCGAGAACGGACCCCTGTGGGGCGACGTGCCCGAGGGCCCCACACTCATCACCGAGCACGGCATTCAATTCGGCGTCGATCTCACCCAGGGCCAGAAGACCGGCTACTACCTCGACCAACGCGAGAACCGCCGCGCAGCCGCCGAGCATTTCGCCGGCCGGAGCGTGCTCGACCTGTTCTGCTACACCGGCGGCTTCTCCCTGGCCGCCAGCAAGCTGGGTGCCGCCCGCGAGGTCCTCGGCATCGACACCAGCGAACCCGCCATCCAAATCGCCCGGGCGAACGCCAAGCTCAACAGCCTTTCGAACGTGCAGTTCCAAGTCGCCGACGCCAAGCAGTGCTTCCCGCAACTCCGCGAACAAGGCCGCACGTTCGAAGCCATCGTGCTCGACCCACCCAAGTTCGCCCAAGGCCGCCGCTCGGTCGACGCCGCGATGCGAGCCTACCAGCACATCAACCGCCAGGCCGTCGAACTGCTCCCGCCCGGCGGCATCCTCGTCACCTGCAGTTGCTCCGGCTACATCACCCGCGAAGACTTCACCCGCCTGCTAGCCACCATCGCCAGCCAAACCAACCGCCGCATCCAAATCCTAGAAACCCGCGGAGCCGCCCCCGATCACCCAGTGAACGTAAGCTGCCTTGAAAGCGAATACCTAAAGTGCCTCATCTGCCGGGTGGAGTAGGGGCACGTCAGAGATGATTGATAAAGTGGGTGCCACTGGCACCAGCCAGTGCTTAGCCTAGGGCTTGTGGCAAAACCCCAATCCACCAGCCAACCATCCACTTCGATCAACCTCATGCCAAGCCAGCCTCACCGAAAAACGATCAAGCATTACCACGAGCCGGGTCATCTGCATGAGTTGACTTTTTCATGTTATCGACGGCTACCGTTACTTACCAACAACGAGTGGAAAACCAAGCTGTCTCGTTGCATCGATAAGGCCGGTGAAGAAGAGTCGTTCCAGTTGGCCGCCTTCGTGTTCATGCCCGACCACGTGCACCTACTGGTTGTCCCCGAGACTAGCGACGCCAACATCAGCCGTTACCTGGCCCGGCTCAAGCAACCCTTCTCAAAGTACGTCAAATCCCAGCTCGAAGAGAGTAAATCACCGTTGGCAGACAAGCTGACCGTGCGGGAACGACCCGGCAAGACCACGTTCCGTTTCTGGCAAGAAGGCCCCGGCTACGACAGAAACCTCTTCGAGCCCAAGACGATTGCAGCCTCACTCAATTACCTCCACACCAACCCCGTCACCCGGAACCTCTGCCCCAGGGCCATCGATTGGACCTGGTCGAGTGCCCGGTTCTATCACGGTGAGTCGCCTGGAAGGCAAGACCCGAAGTTACCGACAATTCACGGTCTCCCGCCGGGAACGCTGGAGGACCTGAAGCTTGATTGAAAGGCAAACCGCACTGAGCACTGGCAAAGCCAGTGCCACCCTGCCGCGACAGTATCCGTCGCACTGCAAGCCAGGGACTCTGCTAGGGAGAATTACTCTTGAGTGGACGTGTTCCTTGAGCGGTGCCAGTCTCGTACATGTAAGGCGATAGGATCGAGGATCTTGTCTGCACTCATCGATTGAAGCACCGAGAAAGACTTAGCTGAATCGGTGTAGGTGAAGTCTAGATCCATTGGATTATGGAGTTCAACTGAACGATCTTCGCACACTTTCGATATGCCAAATAAAATCTCTTCTACTAGATCATCGAATGTGTTGCGGTACTTATGATATTCGATTGCAATTTCAGCATCCATGTGAAGTGCGAATAACGCGGCTTCCTTTCCTATGATTGCTCGCACACCGCTGTCAAAGACAGAGACTGCTTTTCGGCTGGCCCTCACGTCCACGGCAGGGTCGTAACCGTGCTGCAGAAGCGATTCTCTCACGACGTTGATGACATCGTTACAATCGAATATCCCTGATTTGTCAGCACCGCTTAGTTGGAGGTGCCCTTCTGCGTAGAGGGAACCCCAAAATTCAAGCTTAGTGTTGTCAGCATGAGGTGAGCAGTCTGCTTCATCGCTTGAGCAATCTAGAAACCAATTGTCGCCTGATCGCTGTAACACATCATAGTCTTCATGCTTGAGGCCGATGGTAGACGCTAGGGATGCAGGGATACACCGAATGGTACCAGTCAATGTGCAACGCGAGTGCAGGAATGAATAAAAGCGTTGAGGAAGGATCGCTGGCAGGTAGGGGACGAGAGCGTTAATTGCCTTGTGGGTGCTCATCCAACCAGCGGATGGAGTCTCTGTTGGGTAAAGAGCAACTTGCAATAGTTCATCGAGGGGTGGGTAGATTGCAACTGGTCGAAGGTACGAAGAAGTGTGGTACTCCGCGAACGCAATGATTTCGCCAAGGTGCTCGCCCTGTTCCGGAAAGCCTATTGGTACGGAGGGCCCAAGATGCTTGATTGCGGTTGTGCCGGTAATGTAAGTAGTGAGGTGGTCCCGCATGAAGGGGCCGAAGTTGGAAGGCTTGCAAGTCAGTGTGATGACGTCGCCGTCTTGGGTTGTTCCTCGGACAAGCTCGTCTCGCAACTCGTTGATGCTAGTGAATTTCTTGGCATTGAGCTGGCGGAGTCTCTTGGCCATGTGGGGGAATAGTGTCGGTAAATAATTCTTAACATCCTTGAGGAGGTCGATTGTAAGAATGGTGGAAATTTGTTCTAGCATCGAAGCTCAACCCTATTGCAATTCTAGTAACCGTAGGTCATGCACCCCCGTGCATGAGAAAAGCGTGGCCTAACTACACATCCAACTCCATGCAATGTCTGGGATGCACGAACTGCTTTCCTGCACTGATCGCTCCGCCGTAGATTCTAAAACCAAACGGCGTCCACAACGCCGGCCACTATCGCGGTAATTACGATTGCTGCCGCCAGCAGGAGACCGATAGGGGCGAATCTCTCTGTGTTCGGGCGATTGGCGAGCCAGAACCAAGACGTCAGGCCAACGCAAGCGGCCAGTTTCAGCAACACCCAGACGGCAACGGTCCCGGTATCACTCGACCAGACGAATCGAATCGACCGAAAACCGTGCCTCGTAGGATGGAAGACCGTACCGCTCGCCAGATTGGCAATGATGATCCCCAGCAGACACAAAGGCAGCACGATGCCCAGGGTTACTTGTGTACCCGTGTTATCTTTTTGATACATGGTCGAGAACTCCACGCGGCCCATCGGGTCCACAGCTTAACTTCGTGTCTGTTGTCGTCTGGTAACCGTAAGCCACACACCCCGTGCATGACAACTGGGCCCAACCCCATGTACTGCCCGTGACACATAACACACAAGCCTCACTCCATACGTCGTGTCGTAGTGCCGTCGTGGTTAATTCCCTTCTCAAACCCACAATAACATCGCCCATTCACAGCCAACCCTCACCCACAACAATCCCACCCCGGGGGTGACCGAAAAAAAACATTCCGCTTCGACGGGTGGTCCAGCCGCGCCGGCTGGATCGGCGCAGCCGACAAGATGCTTTGTAAAACGGGTGGGATTGCTGGGCGAGTCGGACGCTTGCGGTTCGTGTTATTGCAAGAGCATTGCTGCCGGGCGAGGGCGCTTACGCCCTGCGACGTCTTGCTCGGGGGCATCTTGACGGCTCCGCCGTCCCAGCCCGATGGGCTGGGTCACCCGACGGAGACTGATGCTTTCGTAGTATCCAACCCACCCCAGGGGTGGCCGAAAACAAACGTTGCGATTCGACCTCCATCTCGGCATTATGTTCGTGGGTCCTGCGTTTTGCCTGGGGCGTGGGGTCGAGGTGGTGGAGCTTGGCTGCGGAGTTGACGGACTGCCGTGGCGGCTCTGGTGATGTGTGTTGCGAGTGACGGAGGATTTGCGTGATCTGAATTGCGTCCGGAGGCGTTTATGTTCGTTCATACGACCCACGATGCAATGCAGACATCTGCGAAACGTTCGCAGATGGAAACCCGAACCGATGGCCAGGCGATCTGGCGACGGTCTCAATCGCAAACCCGCGTGCCGCCACAACCAACCCACAACACAGCCATCCCGATCATTCCTAAGCAGCGTGGTTCCGGAACCACTTTTTTCCTTTCAACCGTGAGAAACAAACAACCGCCATACGACAAACAAAAGGATGGGAAAATCGAGGGTACCACCGGATCTCGATCCGGTGCGGCGCAGCCGCCAGAGGTTCTAGGCGAAAGTCGAACTCTTGCGCTGAAGTCGCCGATACACAAGAACGTAATGACAACGGGTTGTCTTCCTGCGATGTGAATCCGCCCGCAAGCCCTCTTGTCGCCTTCGACGACCCCGCTTCAAGAAGCGGGGCCACCCATCAGTGATTGAGGAAAACCCTTAGGCCGTTCAGTCCGTGCACCACGACTCAACCGCGCGTTGTCATGCACGGGATGCATGACCTACCGCTAAAGTGCAATCGGCCACATTATCGACTACGCTAGACCCATTCGTTGAATCAACGAGCTAGGGCCATTGATTCGGTTTACCTCACGCTCTTTAGCCGGAGAGGTTCATGCGACTGCTTGCGATTGTTCTTCTGTCCTGCTGCCTGGTCTCATCACACGCCGTGGCCACCGCCGCTCGGCCGAATGTGATCGTGGTGATGACCGACGATCAGGGCTATGGCGAATTCTCTTGCCACGGCAACCCGATCGCGCGAACGCCCCACATCGATCAACTAGCCGCTGAAAGTCTGCGCCTGACCGACTTTCATGTCTCGCCGATGTGCACGCCGACGCGGGGCCAACTCATGACAGGGCTCGACGCGTTTCGCAACGCCGCCATCAATGTCAGCAGCGGACGCACGCTGCTACGGCCCGAACTGAAAACCATGGCCGATGTGTTCAAGTCGGCCGGCTATCGCACCGGCATGTTCGGCAAGTGGCACCTGGGCGACAACTACCCCTTCCGCCCCCACGACCGCGGCTTCGACGAGGCCCTCTGGTTCCCCTCATCGCACATCAACAGCGTGCCCGACTATTGGGACAACGATTACTTCAACGACACCTACCTCTACAACGGAAAAGAGCAGCAGTACGACGGTTACTGCACCGACATCTTCTTCGACCAGGCGATGGCGTGGATGAACGCCGGTCAGCAAGACCAACCGTTCTTCGCTTACATCCCGCTGAACGCCGCCCACTGGCCGTGGTTCGTGCCGGAGAAGTATCGCGAGCAAGTCCGCAGCGACGCGGCCGCGCACCCCGAGGTGCTCGAGCATCTTCCACAGGGCAAACGCGAAGCCCTGATCAGCTTCCTGGCCATGGGCGCGAACATCGACGAGAATCTGGGCCGGCTCGATCAGTACCTCGAAGACTCTGGCCTCCGCGACAACACCATTGTCGTGTTCCTCACCGATAACGGTAGCACGATGGGCCCCGACTACTACAACGCCGGCATGCGTGGCAAGAAGACCACACTCTGGGAAGGCGGGCACCGCGTACCCTGTTTCATTCGCTGGCCCGGCGGTGAATTGGGTTCCCCGCGAGAAATCGACGAACTCGCCCACGTGCAAGACTTGTTACCTACGCTGGCCGACCTGGCGGGCGTGGATGCTGTGCCTGCGAATCTCGACGGCGAAAGCCTGGCCCCCATTTTCCGAGGCGAACGCGACGCGCTCGATGACCGGATGCTGGTGATCAACTACAGTCGCATGCCGCAGTTCAAAGTGACCTACACCGATGGCAACCCTGCCATCCCGGTTCGCGATGGTGCGGCCGTGCTGTGGAACGATTGGCGTCTGCTGGAGAACCGCGAGCTGTACAACGTGCGTTCCGATCCGCATCAAGATCACGACGTGGCCAGCGAACATCCCGAAGTCGTCAGCAAGATGCGCGACCACCTGAACCGCTGGTGGGACGGCGTGAAAGACGACGTGATGGAGCCGCAGCGTGTGATCATCGGCGACGATGCCGAAAACCCCTTGCGACTTTCGGCCTGCGAATGGCTCGACGTGTTCGTCGATCAGCAAGTTCAGATCCGTCGCGGCGTACTGAAGAACGGCCCCTGGTATCTCACCGTGGCCCAGCCGGGCACCTACGAATTCGAACTATGTCGCTGGCCCAAGGAAAGCGGCTTGCAGCTCGCTGCCTCCATCCCACCGACCAAAGTCACCGACGGCACCTACGTCGCCGGCAACAGCCTCCCCATCGCCCAAGGCCGTATGAAGATCGGCGACTTCGACGCCACGGCCAATCCCACCGAAGACGGCCAGGCCGTTCGCTTCACCGCCGAAGTAAACGCAGGCCCGGCGAAACTGCAGACCTGGTTCCTTGACGAACAGGGCAAGCCAATCTGCGGGGCCTACTACGTCTATATACACCGCACGAATTAGCAGCCCACCCGCTGGTCGACTATACTCGCAACTCGAATACCCCAACCGCTGACGCCGGTTGATCGACTTACCCGC